ATATATAATATACAATACAATTTTCAAATAATGCATTTTAAGAATTTAAAAGAATTTTCGGATTATGCATAAAGTAAAATTTTTGGACCTTTCAAAGGACCTTTTCTTGAGTAAATGATTAACATTTATTCTATTTGTTTAATAGCCTAAAAATTTATGTATTCACAAATCTATCAGTTTATCACAAGCATCAAATTTCAAAATCTATTCTCTCTTTTTCTCTCTCTAAATCCAAGTTTAATTCTTTAATCAAAATTATTAAATTAAAATCAATTTGACTTGCATACTATATATATAAACTTGCTTCTTCGGTAAAATTTTATAAAATATTCTTCAAAAGAAAATAAATTCTTGTTTTGAGTTTTTTTTAAATTTGTTGTAATAAGTATATTTTAAGATTATTATATCAAGAAAATATTCTTTGTTAAAGATAACGTTATTTAAAATTTAAGAGAAAAATTAAGCTGAGCAATCGCTTCTTTTAACAGTAGAATATTTTTCTATTGTAACGTTAATGTACCTAGAGTTTCTAAAAAAAAATTTACACGATGCTAATAAAGATTTAATTGTCAGAATATTAAAAACCATAAATTAAGTTCTCATCTAAAGAAACTTCTGAGAAAATTTTCGTCCAAAAAATAAGTGATTTCGATCCGTCGAATAATTTGTACACCCTGTATATTCACAAACATATACATATATACGCACTGAATAGCACGTGGTATGCGGGCGATTTACACTGCTCGAGAACGCGAGAGCTCGAAACCGCCGATCGAGATTTCTTGTCGTTCTCGTTGACGAACTCATAAAAAAAAATTCGAATGAAAATTGTATAAAGTTTATTTGTATATTTAAATTTCTCGTCTCAGCTGTCTCTTTGGTTTTGCCCACATTTAGCCTCATTTTAGTAAAATACGCAAATATAATAAAACGTGAAACCAATTTTTATACAATTTGTACAAATGCATTTTATATAATGCATAAAAAAGTAGAAAGGAATTGAATAATGAATACGTGATGCTTTACGGTCGACTTCCTGGGAAAACAGGGAAAATGTCCAATGACAAAGTGATGCGATGTGTCGTATGGATTTATACTTACACATCCGTGAAGTGACAAATCAATTGTCATTCAAGAAAAACAATAACATCGCAGATACATATGTGACAGCGTGAATCGTAAGAATCACAAGAATTCAGACAGAATGACAAAAAAGCACGGTAAAATTTCAGAAATGAACGTGCGAAAGCGTGCTAACAAAGAAATTTTCAAGAACAAAGGTTCGTTTGATTATTGCAAACCAACATTTCGCTGCGTTGCAACAACTTTTCCCTAAACAAAGATCGGTAGATTGAGAAAAGTTCGACGAACCCAATGGAATTCCAAACGCGAGCGCGTTCCTCGGAATTTTTACGCGCCGACGCGCGAACGAAACGTCAAGCGAGTTAATCGTCTCTCTTCTATTCGCCATAATATGGACGTTGCATTTCCACCGAAACGTAGGAACGTTAAAAATATGCGACAAACATAAAGAAGAAATAAAAATATTTTTGAGGTGAAGAAATATTATAATTTATTGTATTCCAAAAAGGAAATAAAGAGATTAATTATTTAAAATTAAAAAAAGAAAAGAAAATTATTTAAATACATCTTTGACTTCATAAAAAATTTTTTGCTAAAACTCAACAGAAAGATAGCCATATTTATTTAGAGAGACAAAGTCTGATGCTTTCGTATATTTAATCTTTCATAAATGTCATATCTGCTGCACTTTCTAAATTTCTAAATTTTATGTACTTGCGAAAATAAATTTTAGGAAAGAGCGAGAAGGAGGAAAGAATAGATAATAAAAGCGAATGTATTTTATTTCAAATGTTATTAGAAATAAAGAAAAAATTATTTAAATATTGTATCTCTGATGTGATGAAGAGTTTTCCATTAAAACTTATCATGTAATCAGATCAGATATTTCATTCGCAAAGGAAGGTAGGCAAGAACATTTATCTTGATTAAGAAGAGAACAAAGTCCGATGTTTCTACAGATTTAATGTCATAAATATCAACACGTTTGTAGTCTACACTTTCTAAATTTCCAAATCTTACGAACACTTACAAACGTCGCAATTTCAGAAAAGAAGAAAGAATTATAACAAACAAATATATTTTATTTCAGATATTATTAAAAGTAAAGCAAAGAAGTTAATTAAATATCGATACGCCTTCATGGTAAACTTTCTACTAAAACATTCGCTCGAGAAGGTAGCCAAGAAACATCTACCTTCGTTTGGAACAGAACAAAGCCCGGTGTTGTGTGCCCGTAGATTTAATCTCATATAAATATCATCTGGTGCACTTTCTAATTTTCAAATTTTGTACGCAAATACTTGCAAAAATCACAATTTCAAAAAGACGTTTATTTTCATTTGGAAGAAAACAAACTCCGATGATTCTATAAATTTAACTTTCCATGAATCATTTGATATAATTTTCTAATCCCTCTAAATTTTCAAATTTTGTTCTTGCAAAAATCACAATTTCAAGAAGAATAAAAAAATAGAATATAATATATCTTGTTTCAAGTGTTGTTAAAAATAAGAAAAATAAATTATTTAAATATCTGATCCGATTTCATGAGTTTTCTTTTAAAATACTCGGTAGGAAGGTAATTAAGATAATTAAGAAACATTTATCTTCAATTAAAATTTCGCAGATTCAATCTCTCAATTCTTCCACGTCTAGTTTCTAAATTTCTAAATTTTGTGCACTTGCAAAAAGCAATGTTTATTTTTACTAATAAATAGATTAACTTTAATTTTAGTTTAACTCACTTTTTATTTTCTTCCAATTTTAATAATTAAAGATAAGTTAAACCGAGATGAAAGTTAATCTACATTAGTATAAATGGATATCAGAGAGATAAAATTAAAAAGATATAGAACAGTAAGAAGATACAGAAAGGTATCGTGAATGCGGTAAATAAATTGTGCACGAATCATTATGTAGTCATCATTCTTGCATTCGCAAAAATCGCGCGTCCAAAAATCATACCAAAAAAATCATCCCGACAAAGAACCGAATAGAATTCCGCGGCGGCATTTCAACCATCGTTCTTTAAGCACCATTTTAAAAAATGTCAATATTTCGCACGATCTCCATAACGCTATAGAATTCGGGTTTCATAATACGTATAGGAGACACGTGCGGGTATTTCGCGCTGAGTTTCTCTCGTTTCTCCTAAACCAGCACCAGATATATAACTCGTGATTCGTTAATCATATGATAGCGCGAATAAGCAGATTCGTCGAGTTCGCACTTATTGTCCACCATCCATGCAATTCTACTATAAGCTCAGCGATTTGTTAATGACATCAAAAAAAGCGCAAACCATTGCATTGAGAGAAAAATATATTATACTAAATTTCAATAAGTATAATATTTCAAAGCGCAATTCAAGAGACTACTAAATGTGATACATAAATTCACATGAAATTATTTAAAGTACTAACAATAAAATCCAGTTTCGACCTGTATAGGCATTGTTTCTTTTACTCATTATTTAATAAATATTTGTTTGAATATCAATTAAATATTTACTAAATGTAAACATATTTATTTGGTACAAGAACCATTAAATTGATTTAATTATGACTTTTTATCATTTAGTAAATATTTTCTGTAAATAAATATTATATTATAGTATTATACTATTCAAATAATTAGTTATTAAAATTTAGTACATTTTCTTGTCTGTGTAAAAATCAGCCAATTTATGTGATTCGTATATAAAACTGCAAATGATGAAGCACGAATTGTAAATAATGTAGACGATTATGCCTGTTTCTACCAATCTAATCTCGAGTAACTCTTCATCTTTTTCTAGTTTTAAGAATTAAGAAAGAGTAAAGGATAATTTAGACTGAGATTAAAGTCAACCTACATTGGTAGAAACGCACACAAGACACACTTACTATTTACTTTTTTCTAATCCTAAGAATTAAAAACTGTTTACTCTAAGAATTCTTAGAATTAGGAAAAGATTAATAAGTTAAACCGTAAGTTTAAAGTTAATTTTATATTTCTGGAACTGGGATCTACTCTGCAAATTGAAATGTGCTAATAATACCTACTATAATAATACCTACTATAATAATAAGTACCTTGATGTGATTTAATTGACACGTTCGAATATACAAATCCATTTTTCTATGCAGTATCGTATTATCTTTACGGGAAACTAAATAACATTCATATATAAAGGTTACTTATTAGTAGTATGATTACACACTTGTAGAAAATTATCGTGGTAAACGCAATGAATTTCTCAGCGCAAAAATCACTGCAAAATTCCGAGACACGAAACAACACGAACTTCTTCGGAAGTGTCGTCCTTGACTTTTTCAAAACAATTTAAAGGCGAATTCGCCCGCTGTGGTGGAAATCGTGTACCTGCGAAATTCCTTTGGCAAATCAGCAAATGCGACGATGAGAATTTTCAACGTATATATGTCTTTCTCTCCCTCTCACTCTCTCTCTCTTTCAGAAACGGCCAATCACCCCGCGAACGCACGAGGCGGTTTTTTTCGAACCTCCGAATCGCCGATGGTTCAAAGTTCGCGAAGTAAAAACCGTCAACGATGACGACGATGACGGGTTGCGCTACTCCGAGCGATCGTCGCCGTCGGCGCCACCGCCGCGCGGCGCGTCTCTCGACGTTCGCGGGGAATCAATAGAGGAATGCGGCGTAGCGTAGAAGAATGCAAAAAGAGACGAGAAAAAGGGAGGAGTAAAAAAGAGGAGAAACAAGCACGCGCGCGCGCGCGCGCGCGCGCGAGAGAGAGAGAGAGAGAGAGAGAGGGCGAGGAGGAAAGAGAACGACGACGCGACGTCTTTTATTCCCGCCGCGTCGCTTTTATTTTGACAGTCCGTGCAGGCATTCGCATTGCGCGCGCGGGCGCACGCCGTTACACGCGTGTGCGTATTAGATCTTTTTTTTTACTCACCCGTGGCTCGTCGCTCCCCGATGTCGCTCCGCGTAGCCCCGCGACTGTGCGCAGCACCTGCGAAAAATACGCAAGTTTCACGCGGCGACAGTTCTTGACTTCTTGCGTTCTTGCCCCACCGGAGTCCGGAGTTCACCGTCACCGCGCGCTCTGACACTCGGATGAACGCGATGTCGAGATCGTACGGCACTTCACGTCGTCGGCGCGTCGTGCTGCGGCCGGTTACCCGTACCCATTGAAAACCACGAAAATCTAATGGTATGCGGGCGGGTGGACGCGCGCGCGCGGCACGGCCCGTTTGACACGACAGGCAGCCTCTGCTATTCGTCCTCATCCCTCCCCACTCCAGCCCTCTTTCACCCGCGCCTCTGCCCGCCTTACGCCCTCACCCTCACATACCCGCGTGCGCTCGGGCATTACGCCGGAATGCGCGGTATGCGGACCGACTGTCGCGCCACTACGGCAGGATCGTCAAACTCCCCACGGCGCGACGGCCGCAGCCTTGTAAATACGCCAGCGCGGCTCTGTCGTTGCGAACGAGGACGCATTTTTTTTGCGCACGCGCAAAAGTAGTGCCAAGCGATTTGAAGTAGCGTAGTTTACGGAAATATAATGGTATCATCAGGGCCTACCGTGAAAAGAAAACGTTGAAAATGAAATATGATGCCCGTTATTTCTGAACCATTTTTTATCAACGTAGATTTTGAATTGATTTATTCTTTACCTTTTTCTAATTCTTAGAAAAGATAAAAAATAAGATTTAAGAAAAGATAGAAAAGATAAAATCCGATTTAAATTAATTTATTATTAACTAGGAATAAACGTCTATTAATGATAGGTTAACGAAATAATATTACAGTTCATGAACAGATGAATTAATATATGTTCATGAATTAATATTAGATTGTATTATATGCATGTATATTAAATATATAATACAATCTAAATAATTTTTTATTAAATAATTCTAATATACTTGCATATTTAAAATTGAAAAATATGCATAAAAATATATTATCAGAACATACTATATGTTATTAATATAAATTATCAGAAAAAAATTAAAATACATTAGAACTTTCAGAGAGCCCTCTATTACATCACACGAGTCTGTCGATCGAGATAGTCACGTGATCCATTGCACGTGTGTGGTTCTGTCTGCAATGTGTCAATTGATCTTTATAATTTCCTTGCAAGATATATTGCAAAATAAAATCAAATGCTTCTCTATACAAGTCTACTATGAAATATTTAATATGTAAAAATAAATTTTGCAATAATTATTATAATTTAGTATGATTTATTATTATTAAATTTCTTGTGCAATATAGTTTGGTTAACTTGTATTTCTGTTGTGATAGAGGAAAGATTCTATTAATAATGCAATAAGATATTTGTATAAAATGAGTTTAGACAAAAATAATGATTATGAAGATCATAGACCCAAAACACCACTGGAGGAAGATTGTTGCGGTAGCGGCTGCACACCATGTATCTTCGACGTTCACAAAACATTGCTAAAAGAATGGGAAAATAGAAAAACTCGAGCAGAAGTTAAAACAACTGACAATTTATTATCTCTTTTATCCTATAAAACGTTTGTTATCACAGATATATCTGATGTATCGAAAGACTATATTTTAATTTGTTTGGAATATCCAGGTATTATAGTTTAATGAACTTAATAGCAAACATAACAAATTCTATAAAATGTATTGCAAATAATTAATAGGAAATACAACAGCCTGTAGCAAAGAAAAATTATACTTGTATAATTCTTATTAAAAATTATATTCAAAAACAATGATAATATTTAAAACATCATAAAACATATTTCACATTAAAAAACTTTGTATATGTTACATAGAATGTAAATAGTAGTAATATAATCTTACAGCTCTCCCAAATTTTTTTGTATAGAAAATAAATTTTTTTTGTTATAGAATGTAAAATAGAAAAAAATACAATTTTACACTTAACACCTGGCCAATATGTCATGCTGCATTCTTGGAGCAAATCCCGACCATATACTCCAATTGCTTGGACATGCAGAAGTTTAATTTTCTTGGTAAAATTATATAAACATGGTGAATTCAGTTTACTTCTGAAAAATGCATCAATTGGAAGTGCAATTGACATCAGAGGTCCTTACGGAGATTTCAAGTATGAAAGTAACAGGTGTGTGAAGTGGATAAGTAAATATTATTTTTTTTCTTATGAATCAACACATTGTTATGACAGTTTTCAGCAGATTACCATGTTTGGTATCGGCTCAGGAATAGCAGCGCTTTATCCCATTGCTAAGGCAATCGTTGATGATGAAACAGAACTGACAAGAGTGCATCTTGTTGCGGGATTTAGGTCGGTAGCGCACGTGCCTCTGCAAAAAGAGTTAACGCATTTAGCAAATTATTGGAATTTTAAATGTACATTACAATTGTCCCAGTTAAACGGTACGTAACATTTGATTTCAATAGTGGAAAAAGAACTTAGTTAAAATTATACAAGGTATTAAAAAAAACTATTCAACATTTCTATGTACAAATCATACTGATTAAAAAAGGTTTAGTACATAGATTGAAAGTTCAACTGTTCAATGATCTTTTTTTACTCAGTTACAATATATACTATCTATTATATAAATTCTGAACGATTTTTTTCACACGTTTTATGTATATAAAATGCTCTATGATAAGTGCATTCAAAAAATAAATTTTTCATACTTTGATAGTTAAATAAATGTCAATGATTTCTTTAAACATAAATAAATGATTAAAATTAAGAACTTTTTTTAATTATATAAATGATTAAATGTACTTCATTACTTTTTAAAATTATTGTTTCAGACAAGACAGTCAATCTTCATGGTTTTAATATAAATATTGGTCGTTTGAGTAAAGCACTCGTTGCTGATTATCTTCAATCTAATGATACAAAAACAACATTAATTTTAATATGTGGTACTTCAGAATTCAATCAGTCTATAAAAGAATGGCTCCAAGAAATGAATTATACACACATACATATATTTGAATAAAATTTACCTCATTATCGTTAAAAATAAGTTAATATTTGCCTTCAACATTCAATGGGACAGGCAATGTCTTCCTTGCAATGTGGACAATTACCATAGATATGACTAAACACAACTTGATTCGCAGCGTTAGTTTGTAACCACTGTAAAAGAAATTAATTCTATTGAAGTATATTTTATTTTGTATCAGATTAATTTTACCATATTCTTTTAAGAGTGTCTCCCATTTTATCTATTTTGGTTTTCAATGACTTTTGAAACAATTATCATTTTATATTAGGTGTTGGAATTAATTCGTAGCGTTTTACAAGTGATGGGAAGTACAATATATAATATATATTATGATCTCCGACATACCTTCGATAAACATACTGAATGAAAGTGTTTCATGCACTTATGGTTATTGCATATCTTATTTGGCAATTCATCAGTTTCCGATGTTTCAGAGAAGCATATACCACATTCACGATTACTGATGACACCTTGCGCATCGTCCAAACTGTCCTGCTGCTCGGGAAATGTGTACATATTTAACAACATTCTCAGATTATCTAAAATATTACAATCCGGATTCCAGTTCTGTAAAAAAATGTATTAATTTTTAGTGCATGAGCACACAAATTGCTGTTATTCACATCATGCAAGAACGTACATGAATATTATTGGAAACATCTTCCATTTGTCTTTTCACCTCGTTATCACTGCCCGAGAACTGAATTGTCGGCGCAGCAGTAGGAGCAACGGGATCTATTGTAATTGTTACAGATATAGATTGCGACAAATGAATGCGTCTGTGCATGTGACTTTTGTTTGGTTTTGGTGGGTCAATTACCCAACAATTCCTGATAATGTTTCACATTAGAATATAATATTTTATTATAACAATTATTTGATAATTCTTTCAGCACTAGAATGAAATAATTTTTTTTTATATAGAAAATATAAACAAATAATGAAATTACTCACTCATCGATTTCTTTCAATTGTTCCCATGCTTTTTCCAGTATTTCCACTTGCCATTTGAACTTTGTCGTCACAACGTTCAAATTTTTGCTCAATACTATCTTCTCAAAGTTTTCAGGCATGTTAGAAGATACTACTTTCCAGGGAATATCAATATCTTTGCATCTTTGCAATGTAAGAAATATTTTTCTTAAGGATAATTTGATAGTACTCAGATTTCGATCGCATGACAATTGCACATCCTTTAATAAAATATGTCTTCAACATCGAGTTCATGTAAGAATTTATAGACAAATACAGCTGTAAATTTACTTACAGACTGATTCTGAAGAGCTGCTTTTATATCATGCAAAAAGTCTCTTGTAGATTCAAAATCAAACGGTATACAAACTTTACTACTTGTATTATGCATATATTTACCCTATTTTGAAAATGTACAATAATATAATTGTCAAAGAGAAAATAGTAAAGCAATATACCTGTTACTTACAATAAGTAATTGTAACTGCGACAAAAATGATGATACAGTTTTTTTTTGAGACTTCATTGACTCCTTCACTTCTCTGCTGAATCCTATGTTCCGCAGGAAAGCAATATGCTTGCCAAAGCTGATTCGCGCCTTATCAAATGATGGATAATTGGGCATAACTAGTTTCACTTTTATTCTGGGACATCGAATATTCCCAGCAGGATACAATTCTGAGACAAGTAGAAAGCCTTGCCAAATGACAGGCGATTCTGAAATAAGTATCATCTCCGGATGCCATTTCAAGATTTCTTCATAATTGTAATTGTGTTTTGTTGCCATTGCCAGCAGTTAATTTAAAATTGTCACAATGCAAAAATGTGATTCATATCTAAAAGGATTAATCATAAATATAAATATATATACGAATATCAATATCTTTCTGTAGTTGTTAAAATATATCTTGTCGAAAAATATAGAGAAAACAAAATTAAACTTACAAATAGTTTCTTCTTATATCCCTGCTTGGTTTTCTGACCCAAGGAAAGGGTCACAGTACCATGCAACAATATATACAAGTCAGTAGCGCAATTCACTGTCGGCACTTTTGATGTTAGTTTCCTAAAATGCAGTACGCACGAAATAAGTAAGTTCCTAGTAGCGCCATCTGAATTTCTTTCTCAGTTGCTCTTTATTTTTCTGCTTTCTCTCTCTAGATCATTTGTACATCAAAGTTAATCTAAATGTAATAAAACTGAAAGAAATAGATTTATAATTGTAATGCATTGCAAAATAAAAAAAATACAAAAATAAGAAAATTGAAATTATATAAATGTTGTATGATACAAATATTATACTGTAACAATTTTTTTCATTAACGACTGCAGTTTGTTTTCCTACTAGATCGCTTGCGTTTAAAAGACTAATTCTACAATGTGCTTTTTGTTTTCTGTTTCTTGCTGTTTATCTCTTGTCTTATTGACCAAAAAGGCAAGAGACAAACAAAGACAAAGGTAGTTTACGACAATAAGGCTGTAGTCAAAGTCTCGCTACAAATGCTTTGAAGCATTTGATGGACTAATTAGAAGAAAGAATTTTGCAAACTGACCAATTAAAAACCACTTCAAAGCGTTTGCAGCATCGCGTTGATCGTGCCCAATAAAAGATAAGTACTGCACAGAACGTATACAATGAGAAATGCAAGCTTCGTGTTAAACGAAGGAAACGAATCGATCATCGCGCTCCTGTGATTTGGATTAAGGGACTCTGCACAATAAAAGGAACAGGGAACAGAGAACAGAGAATAAGAATTTCAACCTATCAGAAATCATGTATTGTAAAATATACAGTTTCTGATAGGTTAAAATTCTTATCCTTTGTTCTCAGTTCCCTGTTCCTTTTATTGTGCAGAGCCCCTAATACTAGACATATAGCAAAAAGGTGCGAATTACCAAATGATTTTCAAAATAAAAGAGCAAACGGATGTCTCCGATTTGCAATGCCGAATGCACCTATAGTCACGAAAATTTGCCGAGGGTCTTTAATGACCACAGCACAGACTGAAGGGAATTAACCAATCGAAAATCTTCTTTTCCATGGAATGGGAGGAAAGGAAAGATTCTGATTAGTTGATTCGTTTATGCACTATGCGTTATGCGTTATGCAAAAGTTTGTGCTGCGACTTTAAAGCAGGGAGCACAAACTCTTGCATAATGTATAACACATAATGTATAAGAAAATAAATCAATTAAAATCCTCCGTTTTTTTCCATGAAATAAAGAACTCTGATTGATTGAATTTTTTATGCTTTATGTGTTATACGTTATGCAAGAGTCTGTGCTCCCCACTTTAAGCTTTGTCATTCACTTAAGTATTCACGTGAATTCTTTTTCACGAAACTCGCATTGGCCTAATTTCTACCGAGGGTTTAATCCGAATCAGAATGTAAGAACCACAGTCGAGTATTCCCCTGTTACAATTGAACAGCATAGCACGTACGTACTATTCACTCAAAAAAGTGATCTTATAATTATAGCAAAAATTATCTAAGAATACAAAGAATAGCTGAAATAGATAAATTTCTAGCAAATACTGGATATTGGATATGTATTATATCTAATCATATAGATGACAGAGATAGAATTTAGATTTGCCATAAATTCTATGCATATGATACATAATTTTTGTGTTGCTTACAGATCGATCGTCTACGTGCACGTGAACTATTTATGATTATAATTTGTGTTTTTAAAATAGAGAATTTGCGTTTTTAAAGCAGAAATTAGTGCATGTGGACAATTCAGCTGTAGGCAATAATTTTTGTGCTTAAACCAACTGTTGGCAAATATAATGTAGGCAAACAGTATTATAGGCAATCAATTTGTTGGCAAACAGTTTTTGCCCCTTCGAAATAGCACGTCTACCTATATTTATATCAAGAGATTTCTACGTAGAACTTTATCATATAAATTATGGTGATGCTTCAATAATTTAGACAAGAACAAATTATTAATACTCTATAATATTAGTTGCTATAATATAATTCATGTTTCTCAATTTACAATATAAATGCATACATGAATAATAGTCATACGTACAAAATAATAGTCAGCACGTACAATATTAAAATTAGACTGTATACTGAAGACGCAGCCGGGTAAATTAGCTCTATAATTGATTGTTTATTATAATTGATTAATTACATTTATAAGTTTTTAACTATATAATAAGTTTTTACGCTCACATGCTGTAAGAATTATTTCATTCTTGTCCATCACATATTGAACAAACACAATAATGCTTACTACGCTGTAAGCGGTAAAGAAGGTATCTATAAGGTAGTAGGTTCGTAATAATATCATCAAAAGTTAAGTTTCCTCAAGTATTTGATACCATGACTTTCCTGCTAGTGAGAGAAAATTTTTTAATGCGCTTGTTCATGGCCGCATGTCGCAAGTACACGCGGAAAGTGCCACACTGATAAACGCAACCTAGCTCATTGCTACTTCCTTCTGATTCATATGATGCATTAATAAATGTTTACGAAAATTGAATTCTTGTCATGACTCTTTTCCAAACTAAAAAATTATATGATCCCGGGAAAAATATTTTAGATATAATTATGTATAATTAAATATAATTTTATATATTTAATTATATATAATTTTATATGTAAGTTCATAGGGATTTGATTCATAATATTCCTTTCTAGTTTCTTTTCCTTCTCGCACACTCGTTTCTTATTAACATGTCACTACAGAAACACATTTTCATTAATTTTGTGTATGCGATACTTATAAAAAGTGCGGCTTTCAATTGTTTACATTTCAATATTGAAACCTCAACTTGCACTGCAATTGCACAAATGTAATAACGTCTTCTAGTTAAATACGTATAGCATCAATTTCAAAAAATTCTGTTTTCAATTCGTGAGTGTACTACTTTAAATCCAACTAGTATCCAACGTAAAATTATTAAAGATATTAAGCAGTGAGGATTTTGTTTTCTGAACGCATTGTCAACTTTACACGACGATGCTCTGACAGTATTCAATTGCATCTCCGAAAAAAATTGTATTTTCTAGAAAACTCCCATCTATGCATATAACATCTCATACTAAAGTTACATTTTTATTCTTTACTTCTCTTTCATCATTCCATCATTATCATTAAGAGTAGTTATAATTTTTCTTATCTGTTTTGTTGTCAGCTACAGTTTGTTCTTTACTTGTCATATAGGTGATGTTACTTTTGTGACCCTAAAAAATAAATAATTTTTTATATATCACATATATTATAGTATATTACAATCTATTATAGTATGATTATAAATATATAACAAAAATAAAAAAACAAATGTGAATCTGCTAATGAATTAAAACGTTATATCATGAATGACCTCAGCTCGAATGTGTTCATCAAGTGCCCTTTTTCGCTTGTAGCTCTTGCCACACATCAAACACTCATACGGCTTTTCATCGCTATGTACATATGTGCAGTGATCGTTTAGGTTACTTTTAAAAGTAAAACCTTTGCCACAAATCTAAAATACAGCACATTTATAATTACAGAAAAGTAAAAATAAAAACAATCAAATGAGAAATAATTAGAAAAAATACTAACAATAATTTTCTAACACATACCTCGCAAATATATGATTTCTTGCCTGCATGTATTTTTATGTGCTCTCTTAAGATCTTAGGATGGGCAAATGTAGATGGACATTGATTACATTTATACTGTTTTTGGAAATGAATCGTGTTTATATGATAACGCAATTCTGGCTGAGTTTTGAAAGCTTTCTCACACATGACGCACTTGTAATTTTTATCAATGCAATGCTTGGCCTCTATGTGTCTTTTTAGAACCGATTTGTAACTACAAAATGACCATAACAACATTTATCGTTTGTTATCAATTAATTTAAACATAGACACCAAATAATTTCTCTAATTTTTGTTCCTCACTTAAGTACTCACTTAAATGATATTTCGCAAAATTCGCATTGATAAGGTTTTTCCTCTGCATGAATCATCTCATGACGACGCAAATACGATCCATACAGAAACGCTTTACCACACTCTCCGCATTTGTGGGGCCTAACGTCAATATGTATGTTTATGTTGTTGCAAAGTTTTTGAGATGATAACGTGTTTATCTTTAATAATAAAGAAGATTATTGTTATAAAACAAATGAAAATAACACAAAGCACTGTAGCAATTAGTGCTTTGAATAGTTGGATCTTAAATACTTCTATGATTCTGTGTAACTTTATATATCTACGTAAATAGTCTTTTGAAACGATTTGTTTGAAATGATTTTGAAATGATTTTTCGGTCTTTGAAACGTTAATTCTATTATCGCAGTAATGAGTTAAATTGCCTAGCAATTTAACAATTTTGATGCTTTTTCGCATCTTCGAACGATCTTAATGGTGCTGAAAAACATATTAGGATTATCTGTAAATAATTAATTATTGCAAAAAATATTACCTCGGCCGGGAGTCGCACCCGGATCTTTTGTATTCCCTGCAAGCGTTCTAAGCCTTTAAACTACCGAGATTAAATATGAAAATGATAAGATAAAATATATAATTGTTGAGGTAATATGAAGTTATAAGAAACATTAAAAGTATTAATCATGAATGATATAAGTCTTACCGCATTGTTGGCATACATATTCTTTTGTGCCATTATGCATTATTTTCAACTGTCGATTGAAATATTGCGGAATTTGAGATTGATAGTGTAGTTCCCTTTTTTTTTAAATTCAACTTTCAAACTCTTCGGATGTATTTCTCAGCTAACTTTATCGTTAGCTCAGCTAACATTCTCTAATTTCTTTTCGTAGTTCTAATGTTCTAAATTTTTTTGGACATATATATATTTTCAAGTTTATCCACCTAAAATTATAAGAAAATATAATTTTGTAATATACATTATAAAGGACCCTGCACAAAATCACAGGATTTTGGCCTTCAGTGAAATTGGCTGAAACTTTAGTATATTATAATTCTTGCCTCACTGATCAAAAGTATCCATAGGCATAAAACTTGAAAATGACTGGTTTTTTTATTACAGCTGTTTAAAGTTTTATTTTATTAATGCTTCGAAATCAAATTTCTGTAATAAATAAAGAGATTCTAAATAATAATATCCATCCAATCTCATCATCTCACCCTCACTTCTTCCATCACCTTCCCCTCCCAATCACACATACGTGCGTTTTTTTATATAAAAAAAATTGTTATACGAAAAAAGTGTATAAAAATTGAAGTAAATCTTTCTTATTATGTTTGTGTGTGTATGTGTATGTGTATGGTGTGTGTGGCACGTATGTGTGTGTATATATCAATGGTTATGATTTAGTTTATCGCCCGTTCTCAAAATTACCGGAATGAACGACATGATAGATATTTCTTTCCTTTGGGGTTGATTTTCGTGAGTCCCCTTACCTCTCATGTTAGCAATGCATAAAAAAATAAAGAGAAGAGGAAAAAGAATTTTCTATCCTGTGTTGTTATTGCATTTCAGCAAGCATCCGATATTTTTGCACACGGTGCTTCACGTGCGGAAACAAACATTCGGGTCGTGATAATCAAGTATCTCGCACGTGAGAGGTAAGGGAATTCACGCATTTCAAACGTACGCGTGAAAGAAGTAAAAATCTAACAGAATCTGAATACATGACTATAAAAGATTACTTCAATTTTTATGCTTTTTCATATAAAATTGCGCGCGCGGGCGTATATGTATGGGGATGGAGTGATGGGGATGAAGTGAGGAAGTTGGGGGAGTGAGGATGAGAGTAGATGGCAATTGGCATCTAAAATCACTTCATTTATTACCGATTTGATTTTAAGGCATTAATAAAATAAAACTTTGAACGGCTATAATAAAAAGAATCATTTTCAAGCTTTGTGCCTGTGACTTTTGATCAGAGTCAAGAATTATATAACATACTAAAGTTTCAGCCAAAATTTCATCGAGGTCCAAAATTCTATGACTTTGTCCTTTTTTATCGAAGAAATTGTGTTGAAATCGAAAGATCGCCGTTAACGTAATTACTTTTCTCATTAAATGGCTTAAAACACTTTGCAAAATGACAGATGAATACCTGTTATAACCTGACTAAAACAGCTGATGAACAGATGTACAATTTACAATTTAGATAGAAAATTATCAAAGATAGTACTGGATTTAGTGGATACCGAATTACACTTTAATAGCGAGGACTATATGAAATCTTTATCGAAGTCAGCCGTCATTTTTTAATGCACTTTACTGTTAAATTGATACTTTTTGTCATTAGTAATATTTGATATGTAATTTTATTTTATAAACGTATTTACATATAAATGTTTTTCTTTATTTCTTTCTTAATTTTCATAAATAAAATATGAAGTAAAGATTTTAAACATAAAACATTAAAAATCATTGAAAATAATTAACGTAATTCAAATCGACAATAAATACGAATAAGAACATGTAGTACATAAGAAGTTCTTATGTAATGTACATAAGAAATCAAGATTGAAAGTAACACCTTGTATAAATGACTAATAAATATGAAAAAAGAAATATTAAGAATAAACTTTATTAATTGCTTATCATTTAATCTGATAAATAGAAATTAGAGGATTCAGTGAGCAATGGATTATGGTTAAAACTTATTTTACGTTCGACGAGTACAGATTAATTCCAGACAATAAAATTATAATAAAATAAGTTATTATGAAAAGATAGAAGTAGAATAATTTGTTAAACGCAGATTGAATCATAAAAAAAGAGATTTATAAAATTAAAATGATATAAATCTGAACTTAAATTATAGAACTGAAATTTTTTTTTTGATATTTTACATGCAATGCTTACGACTTAGACGTAGTAATCAAGATTATTACGGTTGAATTTCAAATTATTTGCTGAGAACTAATCACATCAAAATCTTGAGAACAACTGAGGCTTAAGGTGAACATATATGTATATTTATACATATATATACAGGGTGTATCCTAAATACGTTAAAAGATTTTAAGGAGTGATTGCTCACACAAATTCAAGACTAAAGCCGGTTTTCATAGTCGATTCTTATTTCAAGACCGTAGTACTACTCTTAAGACGGTCTTGAATATAAGATCTGACTATGAATACTGTCTAAAACTTTATATGACGATTTGTCGGAAATTGCAAAAAATTTTTCATGTACGAAAACATAAATACCTCAGTGAGAAAGTTAATATCGATACGATGTTGAAACGATGTCTTGGACGTTAAAATTAGCTCGATGGCTCTGATAAGGATAAAAAACTCGATGTGTGTTCGAATTTCGATTTATTTTCAAGTTGTCTTAAACAAATGATAAATAGCTATTCCTGTTTTGTTCAATTTTAATATTATAATTATTGCATATTCTTTAGTAAAATCTCGAAACACAAGATCGAAATGATGTCAATATAATATTTTTGATTCATTGAAAAAACTCATCAATTCGACATCAATTTGACGTCAATTTCATGAGTTATTTTTTTATTGATTGAGAGAAAGAAAGAAATGATTAATCACATTGGTGAACAGACCAAATTATTGTGCAAATGCAATTGATCACTTCTTTCTCCGAAATTTCTAGCATCGTAGATACAATTAAGAAATTGATTTCCATATCACAATTTGAAAAACAAGATTCAGACTAATATTTTGAATTCGATTATGTTAAATAAGATCAGTGACTAAGATCCTTCAACTCGTCAAAATACGCGATTGCTTGTTTTGTAAATAAAGTATTTGTCTAGCATGGAGTATGAAATTCAGTGCAGTATCTGTTAGTCAATCAGTTAGTCAGTCGTCTTTTCAATGAATACATATCATATTATAAATTACAAAAAAAAACGATGTTTACAATTAGTGAAAAGTATGATATGCTCGAGATGCGGCATTTAAGTAAACGTAATGAAAATGAAGTTCGGTTACTTTATCAACAAAAATGTCTAGAACGAAGGAATCAAACGATCGTACATTTCGGCAAGTCCAAGATCATTTACGTCGAACAGGATCACAAAACAATGTCGTACAATCAGAACAGATGAAGAGAAAGAGACAAGTGTGCTATTAAATTCTATTGAAAACAAACGTACAATTGACATTAAATGATAGGTTCTCTTGTTGGATAAGTACTAATGGCCCTACTACACGATGGTCACCGTGAGATCTGCGGATTTAACCTTGCGATTTTTTCCTTTGGAGATATATTAAAGACATTGTCTACTGTTCCTGAAAATAAAGAAGATTTACGACATAAAATCACTGTTAAAGGGATTACAGAAAAGCTGCAGTCAACAATGAGAAACATTATAAAATGCGTTGAATGTTGTATTGAACACGATGGTCAAAATTTCGAACAATTTATGGGTTAATAAATGTTCCATAAAAAACATTATTCGTTTTCTTCTTCGACCTCTCTTTGACATTTCAAACCATGTTCAAAATTATTTAGAATCCAATTTATTACTTTGATACTTAAGATGTCGATCTCGTAAACGATGCAATTTTTACTACATATAATTTTTATTGCAAATGCTTCCTACTATACAAATATGCAAAAAAAATTATAGGCGTCAATCAATTTAAAGAAACTATGTTAACCTACATAATTCGAAAAAGCAGAGTAGAAAAAAAATTTTTAAGTGTTCTTTTTGTAGCTGACTCGGAGTCATACAAATTTCTTTTATTAAACTTTTCAATCCCTCTAATCAGTCTGGCCTTATTCCCGGTTCATGATTAATCCGACATTTTTTATTCGTTCCATTTAAATGCATAATGAAAATACATTATGTTTTTACTTGAAATAAATGATGCATGGCCACAGACTTGCTGTCGTAATATTTATGATTAGATTACTAAACTTTTACGCTTTTTTGAATTTTAGTCGCCAACTAGTCGCCTAAACGTGTCAGAATGTTCGTCAAGAACTATGAAGTTTATGGAGCATCTCTATAGAGCTGCAACTTAGAGCGCGTTTACACCTTGACGAAAAAGTGGAAAGCGGAAAAGCAGCAGCCAATCAGAACTCTAGCTGGTTTACAATTTCTTTTTGTACTACTTACTATCAGCGCGAGTTCTGATTGGTCACTGCTTTCCTATGACCTTTTCTGTCACCTTCACTATTCCGCAGTCGTTTTCTGCACCATGTGATTTCACCCTTAGAAAGAGACATTGTCCAACCAATCTGCACACAAGTGCACACATTATGACCGATTCACGCTCATCACACGCTTAAAAATCATTTTATCCAAGTTGTTTGTCAAATGTTGAACAAAGACAAATGATGCTCATGAGCGTTGTCAACATGAATCGGCCTATGTTATCCCTTCCACTATTATTTCTATCATGCTTCCAGTTCCACCACTAACCGAAATGAACAGTACTGAACAGTTGCTTGAATCATGAATGGTGTATAGACGCTATTAACTTTCCGAGTCTTCGGAGATATTACTTGGTTCGAATACGTGTAATTTCGACCGATCGCAAAGGAGATGGGTCGACGTAAAAGCAAACGAAAACCACCCAGCAAAAAGAAAGCCATTCAACCATTAGACACACAATTCAATTGTCCATTTTGTAATCACGAAAAGTCATGCGAGGTTAAGATGTAAGTGTACCTATTGTGCAAGAATACGTAATAATTTGAGGATAAAAGCGCTGATTATACTGTATGATATAATCATATTATCTTTTTTTCTTTTATACGATTCCTTCAATTTCGTACTCTTGTATTGAGATTATGTGTCTGAATCTTATATTTATTTCTACTAATATAGATTAAATTTAGGCCGGTATGTATTCATTTTAGTTGACCCTTATATTTAAGACTATCTTAAGTACAGTCTCAGAGTTATACGACTTTTTAATTGATTCGTGACATCTGAAAACTACTTAGACAGTCTACTACTCATAGTCAGATTTTATATTCAAGACCGTCTTAAGTACATTCTTAAGAAGCTACGAACCAATCAGAGAATATATTAGCGTCTTAACTTATTTCTTAAGACAATTTTAAAATAAGAATCTACTATGAATACTGACCTATTATCTACTATTAATACTGTCCTTAATATTGATTTAACTTATATTTCATCTTTATTTAATTTTTAGAATTGTAAAGAATAGTAAGTTAAAATAAGATTAAAATTAATCTATTTTGGTAGAACAGATATAATTAGAAAAAAAACAAATAATTGAATCGATATTAAAGTTAATCTTACATTGGCTAATTTTGAATTGAAAAATTCAAAAAAGATGAAGAGTAAGCTGAATCAAGATTGAATTTATGCTGCATTGATAGAAACGTGCATAGTCTTACATTGAATCTCATTAATTTATTGTTCTTGAAATGAATTGGAAAACTTTTTTACTTCAAATTCTTGACTTTTTGATTTTTAATAAACTGAAGTGAACCTGAAACCCATCGACAAATTTATTGCTTATACATAGAACATTTTATCATCTCAAGATCAAGTTTTAGTCAACTTGAAGCAACACTCAACTTTTAATTTTTTTATTTATATTAGCTTTATCAACTCGACACGAACATTAATGATCAAATTATTTTAGGTAAAATTAATTATTTAAAAATTCAAAGAGATTCCTCTTAACTTAGCAACAGAATAATAAATTTAAATTTTGCTTCTGAAATTTTTTTCTTTGTAATACCAGGGACAAATCCAGGAGTACTGCCAGGATAACCTGCAGGGTATGCTTAGAAGACTTTCAGACAACTATCAATCTATTATCAGAACCTTTGGATGTATATAATGATTGGATTGATGCCTGTGAAAATGCTAATTGAATATTAGTTAATGTATTCATAATTCTATATATTGTATCTTTAGCATAACTGGTCACTTTTACTTATATTTTTATTCGCGTCATCTTCAGATTTTATAAATATAAATATGTTATGAATAAAGATGCATATTTTAAGGTTCTACTAAATGTGACTATTTGATTTCAAAACCGAATATTAAATGTCTACATAATACTCTTAATTAAAAAACTATTAATCTTGGAAGTAATGTAAAATCTATGAAGTTATACTTATTGTCACATTTAGTACTAATATTTAAGAATAAGTCTAAGTTTAAAAATATATTTTGTATTATAAAATATTAAACTGTTAGCATAAGTAAACATATATACAAATATACATATATATATTTATATATACACATATATATTAATTATATATATATTATATATATATATATTATCATTTGATTATTTTAATACCTCAATTAGATTTTAATATAAATCAATATATGTATACCGCATTGTATTATCTGTATATAATTTTATTTCTCATACATGATAAAGCATAAATCTTATGAATGTAAGCATATGTATTATATTCTATTAAATTGGTGTAAACAGGAATTTTCCAGGAAGTTCTTGTTCAAATTCTTTCCTTTATAATCTTATATACTTAATTTAAAAAAAAAAACCTTAATTTATATTACATAACAATATAAGATTTCGTAATAACGTTGACAATCGCAAATTGTGATTATAAATTAAGAATTATTGAATTTTTAATATTCAAACTTATATAAAAAATAAAGTATTAATGAAAAGCAAATTATTGTACATTTGTTCCAATATAAAATGATTCTTTTGATAGTTTAACAAGAAAACATATTGCAGGTAAACATTCCAAACGAAAGAACTTCAGACATTTAATTAAAATCAGACATTGTAAATATATGCGACCTTGAATAAACAGAAGACCACCAGGTGGAGTAAGAAAATTTCATGTTATCAATGTCTTTGTAATTCCATACTAAATAATCGTAATCGCTCCCTTTCCCCCTCTTTTCCTCTTATTAAAAAGCTATATTTTTTAACGATAGAGATTTCCATTAACTCTTCGAGGAACATTCTTATCTCGAGGTACAAAGTAAACTGTACACATTCTAGAACCATTCCCATGAATCAACGTTAGATCAAATTTCTATTCCGATCATATATCATTATGTTGCTTGAGAGAAGTTTATAGTGCGTGTGTCGGTTGAACGGTTTATTCTCGAAAGTACGCAGCCAGGCGTCGACCTCAGACGCCTCCGATACTCTCGCGAATGTTGGCGCAGTGATGCCAGAACGTACACGGCTCGCTCGTTCGGTGGCGGCGGCGGCAAGTGGAGTGGCCAAGTAGCGAGTGGCGGTGCAACGACGGTGGTGCAGCAGCCAAGATGGCGTTCGCCGAACGGAGTACACCGTCGGGTAGGAGCGCGTGAGAG